CTTCGGTTTCGGGTTTGGAGAACGCTAGAAGCTAAGCACACGCATATATTTCTATTGAACGGATACGGATGCGGTTTTGATTGCACACACTTACACACGCACGCACGAACACACACACACACACACACACACTCACACACACAATAGGCAGCCTGCAATTACGAATCTCCAGTACGAGTGCAAAAGTGCAATGTCTGGATGTGATTAAAAATAAAGTTCAGCATGTTCTATTGTTTTCGGAACCATGACGAGATCGACATTACCAACAACAACAACAACAACAACAACAACAACAAAAACAACATCGAACGGAGCTTCTGATTTTGATTAGAGAGATCGCAGATCGAAGAAGAAAATATGCAGCAATAAAGAGCTTTAATAGCAACAAATATAATCAATGTGCAATATAGCTAAAATATTTATAAAATATTCTAGAAAAAAGAAAATATCAATTAGTTCTATATATATTATAATTAAAATCAATTCAAATGCCGGTTAGTGATAATAGTTTTACACACACACATATATATATATATATATATATATAAATATATGTTATGCAGTGCAATGTTGTCAATAAATAAATAAGTTAATTTAGTGAACAAAAATGCCCAAAATGCTAGTTGAAAGTCCATTAACAACAACAACAACAACAACAACAGCTACAGAACGGATCTTCTATTGGATTTAAAAATAATACGCATAAAAAAAGGTAAGTTGAAAGTTTAAGAAAGATAAAAACGTGCACTTAAATAAATAGACGTGCGCAAAGGAATCATGAAGATAATTTAACTCTATTGATTAGAAATATGGTAGATTATTTAACTCTAGTAGTAGGTTAATACTGGATCAGCTATCAGCAGGACTTTTTTGAAAGGATTAATTATAAAATGCTTATTATGATAATTAAACTTTGATATGGGAGAGTGTGTGCTACTCTTAGCTAGATGTTAAGGTAAAATGGGTCAAGGTCGAACTTAATAAGTTTAACCTTTAGTATTCCAGATGTCAGTTGGGTAAGCATTATAATGTTTGATTCCTTAAGATAAGATTTCGCATGTATTTTCATAAATTTGAAAACCCAAAAATTGCAATTGCACAGTAGTTTTTTCCAGTGTATAATAATGTTCATAAACCGCAGTTAATCAAAAAATTATAATTAAATGTTCGCAACTTCAAAATGAAATCATACAAAAAATAAGTAAAATATATATATATATATATATATATATATATATATGTATATTATATGTATGTTTAATAAATAAACATTTATTTAACTTTGGCAAACATTAAATTGCAATTAACTTCTCAGCTCTTCTCACGGCTGTTGCTCTTGCTTCAGAGTGGAAACGGGTATTTTTCTCACTTGAATCTCATTTTTATTTATTTATTAATTAATTACTCATTATTATTTATCAGACGGTACCACGCAGCCTTTGAGTGAGAAATTTGCCAAATTGCCTGCTCTTTATAATTAACATGTTTATGATGTTCTCAAAGGCCTATTTACCTCAAGTTCATTATCAACATTAAAATAAGTTTTATCACACACACATTAAAGCCCAACTTTATTGTTAGCCTGATTTGTAATAAACACAAATAAAGTATTGTTCATTTTTATACATTTTCAAAGTGAATGTCAGTTGCTCCTTTTTCTTTTTTCTTTTTTTGTACACTTTTATCGTTGTTTTTTTTTCTTTTTTTTTTTTAAATAACGTGCATTGACCGCCAATTTTGGAGGCGATGATACATTTTGTTAATGGAACGATTATTGTGGTCTCAACCGAGTTTCGGTAATAAAATATGGGGTGTAAATACTCATTCATGGAATGTGTTTAATTTTAAATGAATATTCATTGCAAAAGTCTCTAATCAAAACAAGCTTTACTTTTGTTTACATATCCAAAGGGAAGTTTATTTGCTGAAATGTACGACAATTCATATATTGAATTTCAAGAAGTATTCCGGAAGCCAGTGTCCGTTTAAACTATTCGCTTCGTTCTTTGTAAGAAAGTAAAGAGATATAACATACGAAATATTAATCCTATTCTTTGGGATTCTAAGCCATGGGCATAATATTAGCTATTGCTGGCTCATTGTTATTCAAAGAATGCCTTATGCTTGTTTATCGGGCTCCACTTGAAAGTTCTCACACTTTTCTTCTCTATCGCCTTTCTAACGCTTCTTCAGCTATTGAATAATTCACGTAATCAACGGCAGCAACGACAACAAAACCCAAAGCTAGTTTGGTCATAACCAGACTTCGGGACTGCGGCTCTTCAGCAAATATCTAATGCGAAATTTCTCTATTATTATTTTTTTTTTTTTCTATTTCTCTATTACAATTCAAAAGCGTCGAGTGTTGAGGCCCAGGTAGGTGGAGGTTGCCTACAGACTCCCATACTCAGTTGTAGTTGTCTCAGGCGCGTCGTTGGCCGTACATTGAACTTGGCCAAACGTCGGACAGGGCTTAGCTAATGGGTTGGGATTCTAACTCTAGCTCTTTCTGGCCCACTGCTCCCTCTCTTTCTCCTGTCGTCTATCGCCGTCTATCGCTCCACGGAACAGCTGACAAATGCTATGCGCGAAAAATTGTTGGCCCGCTGGCTGGTCGCTGGTGGCTGCTGCCGGCTGGCTGTTGGCCTGCTGGCTGTTGGCCTGCTGGCTATTGGCCGGCTGTTGGCCGTTTGTGGCCTGAGACTTGGCCGTGACCATGAAGCCATCGGTTCGGTTGGGTTCCGTTGCGTGTGCAATGTTATATGCGCGGTAGTGACATAATCTGCTGATGTTGAGCGTTCTACGCTTTGGGTTGAGGTTTCTTCTTCTGTAACTGCGCAGCGGATCGCGTGGCTTTTATTTTAATAATATTATATATTTTTATTATTATATTTGGTTTGGTTCATTTGCATAAGTGTGAAGAAAAAAAATGTGCCAATAAAAAAAAAATAAAAATAGCCAAGAATATGATCAAAACTTTATGTAAATTCTGATGAAAACACAAACTTGTTTATTTCGCAAAATAAACAACGACAATATATCGGCTAATTGGTAGAACACTTTTTTCTCTCTTTTATTTTTAGTTTTTTGTATTAAGTTTATGTTTTTTGTTTTCATTTTGTGCCACATTTTAGCAACGTTCGCAGATCGCCTTGTATAAGTACGAGTTTTTACAAAGTAACTAAGCAAATGCTGAATAATTTTATGAAGGTGTCAACAATAATTTGCGGTTGCACTTGGACTTGGACGGCCTGACGCCACAGGAATCAGTTCAATGCAAACTAATTTGCTGAATTTGTCGAAATTATTTACATTTTTATTGTGCATTTTTCTTTTTGGATTTTTTGGTTTATTTTCGGGAAAGCATTCTGCGAAAGCTGTAAGGTAAAACCAAAGAAAAAATACAACTGAAGAAAGCTGAAAAATGATCAACAAATTAAGCAAAGGAATGCAACAGTTCGCGTGGAGCGTGCGACCCAATACAGTGGGCTCTAAGCCATACGAAAGTGCTTGAAATTTGGTTGTTGCCCAGTTAGAATTTTTCACTTTAAAATAGCTAAGAAATTCTGAAAAGAACCAAAGAATATATCACCGTTCAACTTCTTTTTAAACTGATCTCAAGATTCATATAGTCTTCCAAGTCTTGGTATAATTATCTTAACATCAATGTGTTTGCGCAGACGTATATCTTGAAAATGATTAATTGATTCCTCAATACTCTACCTCTACATAAAAAAACATGCCCACTGATGATACAAAACTATTTGTGCAGGTCACAAGAAAGAACACAAATAAAACTCGAAAAGTGCGTTGAAATCAAATTAAGATAAGGTCAATTTCTGTTTAGGTTTTGCTTTCGGATTAGCTACAAAACAATTTGCTGTTCCCTGATGTCGCCAACTCGTTCACTGATTTCTCACATAGGGGCTTCTTAGTCGATAGGCTTCTAGTTGGGTGACTTGCAAAAAAAGTGGAAACACGAGAAATCATAGAAATCATAGCCAGTTCAGCACTTCCTTCTTTGCTGTTAATCACTTCCTCATCTCTGGGGCGACGCGTGCGCCGTTCTAAGCGCTTCTCACTTTTCCAAGCAGCTAGCAATAAAGTAGATGAAAAAAAAAACTCGCTTTTATAATAAGAATTCTTGCGAATTCTACCAAGCACACACAGATCTCGTCTCGTCGGTTGCCGGCACCATGATTAATATGCATATACATAGATTGACTCGGAATCGAACGGGGGAATGTCTTCGCGTGTTGCTTGTCGTTAGAGCCGCGTTAGAAGCCCCCGTTCCAGTTGACTGTGAAAACCGGCTCCGAAACTGGCCGCAGGCAGCGGGAAGAAAGCATCGGGCAAGCAGAATGCGACATTAGAAAGCATATTATGTAATTTATTATGTAAGACGAGACGATGGGAAAGTTTTTGTTCTTTACTCTCAGCCTTGTGCTTTGGCTTTTGTTTTGGTTTTGGTATTTCACAATGTTGATCAAGTATTTCTCTACACAACAATTCAATGGGCCAATGCGCAAATAAATATTCGGGTTTTTTTTCGGGTTTTGTTTATCAAAACAAAGTTTACGACAGTCTCGGGGAATGACGCCTTAAAAATATATATTTTTGCCTATTTAGCAAGTTGATTGGTTTTTCTAGTTCAACCTAAAATACTTATAAATGTGAAAGAAAAGAAAGTTGTTTACTCTAGGGAATCGCTTACTCTCTGTGCCAATTTGGAGTGTAGTGAAATTAAAGCATGGAGAGTATGAGGAGAATATGAAGCAAGGTTCTTGTTGGATCTTATCTTATATTCTCTATGATGTAGACACTTTTACTAGCCCGATATTCGTCAGGTACAATCTTAATTGTAGTCATTTTTTGGGTTTATTGCCCCATTTTTCGGTTTTTTTTTTGGCAAGTCACAGTGTCTTAGGGCTTTTTTTTCACACAACCTTGAACTGTATCGTTGTTGGGTTTATCTTATCTGAAGGCTTACAGTAGAAAGACATTTGCTCGGTTGTCACAAAAAAATGTTCTTATCGTGCTCCCAAATATAATGCAAAATCTATGATTAGCAAATATAAGTGGCAATTTTTGTATAAATCAACATTTAAGGTAAGGCCAGAGACCGGTTTGGTTTGAGGTCTGTGCATGACTTCAATTAAAGGCCTGAAATTGTTTACGAGTGCTAGAAGATTTGCATAAAATAAGTAGAATATTTTATGAAAAGCATTCAAAACGCGTTAAGTCCGCCAACAACTACACCACCTCTCACTCTTTACAGCCTCCGATGGTAATGGCCGTGATACTGTTGCTCGCCCTGGCAGTTGTACTCGGTTGCTATTGCGCGATTCACAGGCAAAAGATCAGTGCGATTTATTTGAAGCCGCTGCTAAAGAATACGCCGCTGGAGGATTGTTATCATGCCACGCCCATCGAGCAGCGAAAGCGTCGCAGCATCTGGGATATACCCGGACCGCAGCGGATACCATTTCTGGGCACCAAATGGATATTCCTCTTATTCTATCGGCGCTACAAAATGACAAAGCTGCATGAGGTCTACGCAGGTGAAAGACTCTAACAATTCTGTAGAGCACATGCCCATATTCTTCTTTCTTCTTTCTTCCCGCTTCTCTCTTCGATGTGCACACTACAGATCTGAATCGACAGTACGGTGACATTGTGCTCGAGGTGATGCCCTCGAATGTGCCCATTGTGCATCTATATAATCGCGAGGATCTGGAGAAGGTGCTCAAGTATCCCAGCAAGTATCCCTTTCGCCCGCCCACCGAAATCATTGTAATGTATCGACAATCCCGACCCGATCGCTATGCCAGCGTGGGGATAGTCAACGAACAGGGACCGATGTGGCAGCGACTGCGCTCCTCGCTCACCTCCAGCATCACCTCGCCGCGCATCCTGCAGAACTTTCTGCCCGCCCTGAACGCCGTTTGCGATGATTTCATTGAGCTGCTGCGTGCCAGACGTGATCCCCAGACCCAGGTAGTGCCAAACTTTGAGGAATTGGCCAATCTGATGGGTCTGGAAGCCGTTTGCACCTTGATGCTCGGCAGGCGAATGGGCTTCCTGGCCGCCAATGCCAAGCAGCCGGAGAAGATAAGCCAACTGGCGGCGGCTGTCAAGCAGCTGTTCATCTCGCAGCGCGATTCATATTATGGATTGGGCCTGTGGAAATACTTTCCCACCAAGACGTATCGGGAGTTCGCGCGCGCCGAAGACTTGATCTATGAGTAGGTATAAGATGCTTTATGTGCAAGCTACCATCGCAGCCATGTCTAATGCGTTGTTGCAGTGTCATCTCGGAGATCATTGACAACGAGCTGGAGGAGCACAAGAAATCGGCGGCCTGCGAGGATGAGGATGCAGCGGGCTTGCGCAGCGTATTCCTCAACATACTCGAGCTCAAGGAGTTGGACATACGGGACAAAAAGTCGGCCATTATTGACTTTATAGCCGCGGGTATTGAAACGGTCAGTGATAAATATACCGATCCAGATATTAAGATATTCCAGTTTTGATTCGACTTCGCCCAATTCCTGGTGCTTTCTCAGAAAACTGTTTTGAAGCTGAGCCTTTCTTTGCTAACCTATTATTCTCAATCCATTCTCTCTCTAGCTAGCCAACACCCTGCTCTTCGTGCTCAGCTCCGTGACAGGAGACGCTTCGGCTATGCCTCGTATACTCGGCGAGTTCCTTGAGTATCGGGACACGAACATTCTGCAGGATGCGCTCACGAATGCCACATACACCAAGGCGTGCATTCAGGAATCGTACAGGCTAAGGCCCACAGCCTTCTGCCTAGCACGCATACTCGAAGAGGACATGGAACTCTCCGGCTACTCCTTGAATGCGGGCGTGAGTACTCAACGCAATTGATGCAAGATATATGCAAATCGTAGTTTCTAAAAGTTTTTTATGTCATTTTTTTTTTGACATTCTAATCCCTAGACTGTGGTGCTGTGCCAGAATATGATCGCCTGCCACAAGGACAGCAACTTTCAAGAGGCCAAACAGTTTTGTCCCGAACGCTGGATAGACTCCAGCTCGGGCAACTTTACAGTGAATGTGGACAGTGCCAGCATCGTGGTGCCCTTCGGCGTGGGTCGACGCACCTGTCCTGGCAAGCGTTTTGTCGAAATGGAGGTGGTCCTGCTGCTTGCCAAGGTTAGTCAACGCGGTTGCTCACCGATCAAATATATGATAGATACTAATGTTATCATTATGTGCAGATGGTGCTGGCTTTTGATGTCAGCTTTGTCAAGCCGCTGGAGACGGAATTTGAGTTTCTGCTAGCCCCGAAGACGCCGCTAAGCTTAAGGCTACGCGATCGCGAGTTATGAAACGCATTGATCATAGGAGTTTGTATCCAATATAAGCCCCGAAAGGTATTCAACTCATATAGCTATACGCTCCCAATTTGGAACCGATCAATAGGTAAATCCTTTTCCCGTAAAAACATTTTTTTTTTTTTGGTTTTTCTTAATTCGAGAATATTCACATCCCTTTAAAGAGCATTAAGTATGGGTACTCCCGCAAATACAGGGTATCACTTTAAGATTTCATCCAAAAAGTATGCTTTAAAAATGTAACTTAAAAATACTTGAACTAGATTTTCCTTATTTTCATAAAATTTCAACAATGGAGCGTCTTTCATATGAGCTAAGCAAAAACTTAGTAAACATAAAAACAAAAAACAAAAACAAATATAACCCAGAAATCAAAACAAAAGTGAAGAAAACACCAAACTGTAAATAGAAGAAGAGTCTAGAGAGTAGAGTCCATATAGATTCAGTTACCCAGACCGTAGCTGTCTCCGTATAAGTTTCATTGTGTTGTTGTAGCTAGTTATTGTTAATCTTAAGTAGCGGCAATTATTTTTGTGGCCTGTAAACGGAAAGACTGTATTTAAGTTTTGTTGTTTCAATAATGAGGTGGCACGTAATGTAATCTGTATAAAACAACTAATTCGTAATGCTCTGTACAGTTAACCAATATGTATTTATTCAAGTTTTTTATTTCCTAGTTTTCTAGCTGTGTATATTTTTGTTAAATGATAAAAAGCAAAACAAACAAACAAACAAACGAGAGTTAAAAACAGTAACGAAAAAATAAAGTAATACTTTTGAACTGTGTTTTTAAATGTTGCGTAATTTTCTTTGTGGGCATATTTCGCTCAGCCACAACAAAATTATCATTTGGGATCAGTTTTTTAAGACAATAGGAAACCTTAAACTATAACGTAAACTCATTAATTCTAGCAGTGGCCAAAAGAGATCGGTTAACCCATGTTCTCCTGATTGACGCTTAAGCTTTTGCATGTTTCGGATTCTTGACAGCTGGTTTTAGGGCTATTCCACCCATAATTCCATAATTTTTGTCTAGAATAACCCTTAGCCACTCCGAAGGAAGCGTCAAATAGACAGTAGATAATTATGAGAAGATTAGACCTTGGTCCTATAATTACCCTACCGAACTCTGGTCTACTAAGGAAATATATGTCGTAGTCGATCATCCGAGAGGTCATCTGACACCTTTCTTGTCCAAGGCTACACATTAAGTGCCCTTCTCTTGGCAGATTTGCTGTTTTAATAGGCTATCGGCCTATATTACGCTCCGCTAGCTATTGCCTGTGCAGGGCTGTGGTAGCCTGAGCCTTATAGGCACCCAAGCATATAAAATCGAATTACTATAACATATGACTACTATAGGTACATTCGAAAGTAAAGCTTTTGTGTAAAAGCACTTCTATAGCACAAAAGTACCTAATTTATTGCCAGGCCTGAATATTATTATTAATAATTACCTTTTTATATTTTAAAAATCCCTACAAGAATTGCCTAAGGCACTTTCTTGTTCCTACAGTTAGAAGGGAAATTATTAGCCATGTCAGCAAACCATAGCACATTGTAGGCACGTCTCACATATTGCTCAGTGTTTGTGACTCGGCTATTGTAGTGTTGTCTGATATATTAGTCAAGGTGTCCGACTGTATGGCTTGTAACTCGGCTAAGAGGCTAACTTGGCAAATTACACTGGTGGACAGTTTGATTATATTATAAACTAAAAATCTAGTTTAAATATGAACTTTTATTGCCATTTTTGCAATTTAAAAAAAAATCAAAAATGTTTTCATAATATATATTTGTATTCTTTGATTTTATAAGTTGTGCATTCAATTTAATGTGCATTAGGTTTCTAAACATGTTTCAAGCGCTTGTTCTCTTTGTTTGCTTAATTATGCTCCGCTCTTTGTGCGGCTCTCTCTCTCACTCTTTCTCTCTCACTCTTTCTCTCTCACTCTTTCTCTCTCTCCCTCTCTCTCTCTGTTTGTGGGTCTGGGGCTGGGGCTTGGGCCTGAACGGCTTGGGTTTTAGGTACGTTACAACAGTTGACGTTGGCGTGTCGTCGGTTTCAGTTTCAAACTTTCCCGATTGAGCAGAACAAAAATTGAAAAATAAATCCTATTTACTATAAAATTGCGCGCTTGAAATTCAGACTGTATCTGTATTTGTGTCTCACTGTAAACGTGTTTGTGAAGAATACTAAAAGCTAACAACATAAATTGGCTGCACTGTTCTGCACCTTTAATAAGTATTAGCCAAGTACGCAAATGTAAAATATGTTGTAATACCCACACACACACACACACACACACTCACATACACACACACACACACACACTCACATACACACACACACACACGTGAACTAAAAACCTGTTTGTTTTAGAGTCAGCCAATGAAAACTTGTATGAATTAAAACTAATCGTAACTAACTTGTGGCTATACGCAAAAGTGCATCATTTACTATCAAAAACGAGCGAGTGCCTCAGACTCCAGACGGAGTTGGGGGGAGGAGACGAAGACACAGATCTTTGCTCTCATCTCCAAGATCGATGCTCTCGCCGAGTGTGCAGCCCCACCCGAAAACTAATTGTTATTGTGGTACAGTAAACAGCCAATAGCAATGACAGCCACAAGAGGAGCGTAACAAATTGTTGCTGCTATTATTAGACTTGCTAATTATGCACAATTTACACTAGTTAACAAATTGTTGGTTTTATGATTCACAACTAGGCGCATACGAGAAGATCTGTGGAATATAGCGAAATGCAAGCTTTAGGCCTGAAATGCCAACTATTCAAATGTCTAGGGAAGAAATGTCTTGGGCAAATATGAAAAATACTTAAAGTTCTTTATTTAAACAGTTGTTTTAGACAATTAAAGAATAGTTTTCTTTATTCAAAAAGAATCCATCTTAGTGAAGAAAAATTCATGCTTCTCTTTGATTCGGAATATTTAAATTGAATTTCAAGTATAGATATCTTAACATCCTACGCACACAGCAGATTTTACTAACTCTTAGATAAGCTCTTATTCTCTCTGTATTATTCTAGAATAGCGGCTAACACTGACCTTCAGTGTGGCTTTGTCATTGAATTCGCCAATGGGGCTGCCTAGGCAACCGCTCGAAGCCCAACAGCCCCTACCTTAACTCAAACTGGAATAACAAGTTGCATGTCTGAACCGGCTAACACCCAGCCAGGTTGAGGGGGTGTGAGTCCAAATGAGGTCAACAAAATGCGCGCTAGAAAATCGCAATTCAGTTTTCATTGTTTTCCCTTAAGCAACAACCCGGCCCAAGTACAGTAGGCGCCTACGCGAACCGCCCCATTGAACGTGTATCTGCCCAAAGCCAGTTTGCCAGTTGGCCAGCTGTGCATATCAATGCAGTTGAGCTGTGCCGAGCTGGATTTTGCATGAGAAACAAGTTTTGTTGCGCTTTTCAATGAATCCAGAGAGGATCTTGACAATGTTCACACTTTGCTATCCTTTGGCACAAATGAGCTGCAATTAGCTGCAAATAAAGTGAAAGAGCAGCAGCGAAAAAAAGCCACGCCACGATACCCTGTCTGCAAGAATGACAGACCAAAACAAAACCAAACAAAACAACAACAAGAATAAGAAGAAGAAGAAGAAGGAGAAGAACATTAACAACATAACTGGCAAGTCGATGACCCAATCCGACCAGACCAGTTATAGGGCTGCCCGCCAAGCCCTTTCAAGATGCCTGCAACAGAAAGCGAAACGAGGTTAAAGCACACTGCTGGCCAAAATATTGGGCACACCAGCAGAGAGCGAGAGCGCGTCTGTCTGAGCGCGAGTTTTGTGGCTGCGCGAGCGCAAAACAGGTGTGGCTGCCTCTCTCTCTCTCTCTCTCTCTTTCTCTCACTCTCTTGAGCCGTTTCCCCCAGACACTCTCCGGTCCGAGAAAACTTGTTCAACTGGTCAAGCGATTTGTTTACATTATTTTGTGGTTGTTTTGCTCGCTGCGTTGTTTGTTTTCATTTTTCAATTTTTTTAAGGTTTTTTTTTTTTCTAAATTGCTTGGGGTTTCGTCTTTTTGGTTGGCTTGGCTAAAAAACGTGAGAAATTTGTTAGCAACATCATGAAAAGTGTTGTCGTGTCGATTACTCACTCATTATTCAAACATTATAAAAATTATTTTGTCTCGGCAGTTGCTACCAAAAATTACTTAAGCCCAATTTCGTAGATTTAATCGTATTGCAACGAGCTTAATCATGACTCAAAATGACATAATAAATACGAGAAATGCTTTTTTTTTTTGACTTTAGGTAAAAAAACGACATTAAAAAGCTTTAGGACGAAAAATATTTGTAACTATTTTATACCCATTGAAAATAGGTAAAACGGGTATTATGTTTTGTTGCAAATGCATGTAACAGGCAGAAGAAAGCATCCCCTACCCCACAAGGTATATATATTCGATCGAACCATATGCGTCGATCTCAGAGCCTATTAAGGCTAGATGCAAATTTAGGGCAACCAGCTTCAAGTTAAGGATTAAATTACTTTAAATGTTATTTAAATTTGTAAGATTATCTTGAAACAAGAAGAAAGAAATAAACTTAATAATTGTTAAATTTAATATAGGGCATATCAGACGTCACTATTTCTCTCCCTGAATTTTTACAAAGCAACACGCAATTGTTTGGTACCTTTAGAGCTTCAGACCCTAGACACTAAAATATTTATTGGTACCACAAATTAGTGTTAACTAACAACAACAATGCTCAGTCACTCTTTCCCTCTCTGTCTCACCCGTGCTTTGTCTTTCTTACTCGAACCTGGGTGAAAGTTTTTCTTCTCGACTTTGATTTGAATTTGGGTTTAGGGTTCTGGTTTTCCCGCTTGAATTTTAATTGTTTATGCAGGTCGGGCGGGTTAAATGTTTACTGCGCCCCTCTCCACCCACAACTGTGCCGCGTTTATGGTATTTATTTTATTGTACGTGCTATTTGCAATTAGTCTTAATCAATGCGCAACGCCAATGGGGCATGAATGAATGCCCCGAATAACTGAACCATGCAGCGAAATATAATGAGTATTGTGGAAAAACAACAATAACGGCAAAAGTGTTGGCCTGGCCAAGTGTCGCATTGTTTTGCCTATTGCTTGAACTGTAATTATCAACACGTCATTAAATGGAACTTAGAAGTGCCATTGAAAGCGACATAGCTATCTATACATACATGAAGCTGACGGCGGCCTCGACTGATTGACCGACAGACACACACAGCCCGAACTGTAGAAGCTTAAATTGTTCGACTTTAAATTTTAGATTAACAAGTAAAATGCATTAAGACATGCATCGCACTGTTCCTATAATTGTGAAATAATTTAATTTAAACATGGATGCGAAGTGTTTGTTGTAGTAAAGCTTGAACTGATTTCTATATGCCCCATTCTGTAAACAAAATAGTTTTTTTTTTCATTTTATTCAATCAACAAATTCAATTTCAACTGTCTAAGTTAAAAGGTAAAGGTTAAACGAATGGAAATTGTGTTTTCATGTACGATAAAAATTTAATTTTCCCAAGAGCAGAATATGTCAAAAATTGAAATCAAGAAACGTAGCTCAAGCAATGTCGGACAATACACGCGATCAGAATTCCTCAACACTGGTTTTCAATAACATGGCATAGTTGTGGCAGTCGAATCATCTATCAGACAACTCATTTGTATGTAGTTCGCACAGTTTTGGAATCACTTGGAATTGCACCCACACCCAGCTATGACATCATTCGCTAGCCAGACAGCCCTTAGGAATTAGTCCCGCCAATCAATTAGACGCCAATTGCGAAACAATTTGGAAGTTATGTGGGAGATGCCAACAATTGACACAAATACCCAGCACATTGCGTGGCATACAACACGCTCCACTGCGCACCCGAGCTAATAACGAGTATAACAAATAACCCAGAGCCAAATATGGCAGATACGTCTAAGCCCAGAGATACTGAAGAAATTCTTTAAATTGTTTATCGTAGGCAATCAAACAAAAGTTTAAAATAAATAAACAAAAAATAAGACGAACGAGATGAGTTACTTGCGCTCCATAGGTACCTATTATACTCTATAAATGGAAAGCTTGGCTGACTGATCGAACGAAATCCCATTGCCCAATTGAACAGTTCGTTAATTGATTGATTGATTGATTGATTAATTCATCTAACCAACAGAAATCTCACGCGTCGAAATGTCGCCGGCGGATGACAATTCCTTTGCCACAACAAGTGGCAACAAGAAGGCAACCTACACTCTGATATCCATCAAAGTTGTGGAACTGGTGAGTCTAACTAATAAAGTTGAAAACAAATGCTGATATTAACACTAGCTTCAACTGATGCACTAATGTTTAGAAACAGAGGAACAGACTTAGAACTTTACATTTGTATTTGGAATATAGTTAAAAAAAAAAACAACTTTGAGTGACAGCTCCATGATGGAAAATAAGTCTAAGAAATATGGCTAAAAAAAATTTAATAAAGCAATGAAATATATGCATTCCATTTGCATGTATCACTTGTTGCAGACATCACTGTACAGAAAGCAGCAAGTTGTGCAAGGGTATTCAATCTTCGGCAAACCGAATTCTTAAAATCGTTTAAAATTTAAAAATACAATTATATTAAACTATGGATTGTATCAATTGATTTGTTTCACCATATAATAAACTGGATGATTCTTTGATATATTTTTGGATTTTAAAGTTTCTAAATGTGGTTTAAATGGTTCTTCTACTTACCAGTGTCTGTTGATATGTTGCCTGGGACTAATAGATGAGCCGGCTACCAACTCGCATTTGCGTATATTCATCACACCCAGGGTCATGGCGCTGTGCTATGTGACCTTTGGAGCACTGGCGATTTACACGGCAATCTATTTGATCATGGCTCTGTTTGGAGATCTGTGCGTACACTTAATCCGAGTCTAACGATTTTTTAACAATCCTTGTTCACATTGCTGCAGAACACCTTGGCGCACCGCAACGCTGTGGTCTCTGGTGGGCTTTGTCCTTTTTGTGGCCGTGACGGCGCTGTTGTTCCGTGACTGGAGCACCACCAAGGATCGCAATTATTGGCATCCCAATATGCATCGCCTGGATCTGGTAATGGCGTCCGCATCCATATCGCTGGTCACCGCACTGGTCTACCTGCTGGACGTGCTGCTAACCATTCGCTTTGGCGTGCACGGCGATTTGGAATGACATGGCGTTGGACCGTTCCAGTCTCTGGCCTAGTGTGACTGTAATATTTACAGAGCTTAGACGTAAGCTTAACCCACTCCCAGCTAATTGTAACAATTGTTCAGAAGCACATGTCAAAATCTGTACCATATACATCATAATTGCCATCATTGAAAGATAATGTACAAAACGAATTGTAGGACATTTTTATAAGTCGAGAAATATGCGTTGAAGTTTCGCTTACAGCCCTTAGAATACGAATCACGAAATCTTTTCTTTCTAATCTACTTAACATAAGTTTTTTTCACCGAATATTTTTGTAACAAAAGAAATAAATTTTCACCAAAAAACCATATGAAAATTTAAATTTAAATGGTGTAACGAACCAATCAACATATACATATATATTCACACATAAATGAACATAATATATATATATATTTTTTTTTTCTGTATTGTAAGAGCTGTTTTTTTTTTCTTCAGTTAACAACTTTATGATTTAAGTTACTTCAAAATGAAAACCAAGCACTAATATTTAATTATTAACTTGAAAACGTTATTGAAAATTGAATAGTTATTTAAATTATTTTATAGTTTGAGAGGGTTTCAACAAAACTATTTTAATTAAATATGTGCCTTCTATGCGAGATCTCAAAATCGATCTTCATAATCTGCGCTTGGCTTTAACGTTACAAAATGACAATTTAGAACATGTTTCCGCAAGCTTGTTGACATAAGGCACAAGCATTGTTAAGGAATTAAGAATTAAAGGCAATATTTACAATGAATTAACGACAAAAAATTTCTTATAACTGATAACATATTAACAACATTTCGAGTAGCTGCTCATTTTATAGAAATCGTAAAGTATTTCTCAATATCCTGATCATTTTCAATCATTTTCAGGCTGTGAAATGTTTCTTTAATGTAACATTTGCACACATCGCCATTGCCTGTGGGCAAAAAGTTCATATAACTGTGGTCCATATTTCGTAAAATGTTTTCTCTGGGACTTACCTAGGCTGCCGTCGCAGATACGTTGCGTGATCAGTTTGGCCAGGGCCTTGAACAGCTCCCTGGTGGCTATTTTACGCTTGTAGTAGGGATTTAGCCACTGCACCACAGATTTGCTGACATCGTTCTTTTGTTGGTTGATTTGCGGTTTTCTTTTGTCTTTGGCTGCCTCCAGCACTGGCGCGGACTTCTCCTTTTGTGGCACATCTTTAATTTTTGGCTGCTGAGCCCCAGGCTTTGTCTTCTCTTCGCTGCGCTCCGGCAACGCAGCAGACTTTTCTTTTTGGGGTTCAGCTTTAATATTTGCTTGCTTATTTTTTTGTTCCAGCAATTGCCGCGCAGTCGTAAAGCCACCAAATAGCGACAGGTCGGGTTGCTGCTTTTCCAGCTGCTGTTCACCGTTCAACTCCGACGGCGACTGCTTTTCTGCCAACATTTTACGGGCGGTTGTGAAACCAAGTGAGTCTGTGCTCGATTCCGTTTCCTCTTTGATTTGATCTCGATCCGCTGCAATTTCCGAGCTAAATTTGCAGCTGGCTATGGGCTTTGCTGGCTTCTTTTGCACCTCCGGCTCCAGGTGTGAGACACGCGTTTTGCGGTGCGTATCGTAGCTGCCATCGCCATTTGGCTTAAGTCTGTATTTTCTGTGCCCAAAATCAATTTCCAATTGCTCCTCACTTGTAGGACTTTCTTTTTCACTCTGTTGTTTTTCCTGCTTTACTTTTGGCTCTTCGACTGCAGTCTTTGATGCTGTCTCACACGGAGGGTCTACGACCCTCATGGGCTCGTCGTCCGCTTCCTCTGCTGGTTCTGGTTTAACAGAGCACATCGGCTCAGTTGGATCTAGCGATATTTCTTCTTTCACTTCCTGCTTGACTTTGACAAGGAAACTGTCGATTGACGTTTGCTTGCTTTGATTCTCTTTGAAACCTTTGCGCTCGCGCAATGCCTTTGGCGGCTCCTTCAGCGACTGCGGCTTTTGCTCCTCCAGTTCTTTCAGCTTGCGCTCATAGTATGCTACACTGCCGCCAGTCCAGACGCCTTTGGCGCTCGTTTCCGGTCGCGGCACATAGTCTACAAGGATCGGCATTAGCGTCGTCTTGGCAGTTAGCTGTTTAATGCTGGCCAGCTAAATGAATCCGATTATCAATGGCATGTTGAAGGAAGGCTTTAGGCTGTCAGGCTACTCACCTGTTTGGCCAACGCATGTCGATACATGTTCGCCACACGCTGTTGCCGGAACACCTCATACTCAAGCTCGACTGCGATGGCCTCGTAGTCGTTGTGTCTTAGAACGCTGCGTGGTTGCTGGCTCGACTCGCTCTCACACTGCTGCACATTTGCCTTGAGTGCATCTATGATGGCATCCAGGTATTTCTCTCGGCTCGTGTGTTGTAGTCCGCTGATTTTTGTCTCTGTTGACTGCGCTTGATGCACACGCGCTATCTGCGTACTTGGCTCCTGCTCCAGCTGGCGTGCAGCGCTTAGCTGTTTGCGGAGCTTAAACTGTTCGCGGATAAAGTTCTCATTTTCCTTTTTGGCTCGTTTGGCTAGAGCCGCGTGACTGTGTTCAGAGTCTTGGTCAGAGCTATCACTGGCATAATCCTGAGCTGCGCGTTTGATTCCCGCTCGGCCACCTAAAATGCCAAGGCAGAGCCAACGAATTAAAAGAGTTACAAAGAATCCTGGCACTTAACATACCCTCATAAAGATCGGCGCAATCCGCAAGTGACACGTGCGACTTGAAGCTGGCATCCATGCAGAGCTGCTGAAACGTCTCCAGTGCTTTCTCAGCTTGTTTTGGTCTCTTGCACACATCACATTGAGCGCTGCAATCGGGTGTGGGATCGCCGAAGTAATCGGCAAAGAGTTTGTGCCGACAACGCGTCTGCTCACAGAAGTCCACAATGCGCTCAAACTGGCGCAGGGCGCGTTCAGTGAGCAGCTCGCGATCACCACGACCCCGAGCGCGCTGCGCATCGTTTTGCAGCAAAAAGCGTATGGAGCGCACATCTTCGCGTCCATAGTAGAGACGGCAGTAAGACTGAAGGCCGTCGCGACCCGCGCGACCTGATTCCTGATAGTAGGCGGCAACATTTTGCGGCACGTCCCAGTGGATGACAAAGCGTACGCTGGGCTTGTCCACGCCCATACCGAAGCTGTTGGTGGCACAGATAATGGGCTGATCGCCGCGCATCCAAGCCTCCTGGACTTCAGTGCGCTCCGCGGTCTTTAGCCCCGCATGGTACGCCACGGCGCCGACGCCCTGCTTGGATACGCCCACCGCGACCCGTTCCACCTGATCTCGGGTGCGACAATAGATGATGCCACAGCCTCGCTTTGGCTTTGGCTCTGCCTTAAACTTGGCTTCATCACCCAGACAGTGCTGGGCGAAGGCGGCCAAATGTTGAAAGTCATCCTCAATGGAGTTCTTGTACACAATATCGTAGTATAGATTGGACCGAAAGCTGGGTGTACTGAAGTGCGCCACGGGCTGGCGTAAGCGTAGCTGCTTATGAATATCCTCGCGCACCTCCAGCGAAGCCGTTGCCGTGAGCGCGAGCCAAACCACATCTGGATACTTGGAACGCAGCTCACCCAGCTTCAGATAGTCAGGCCGAAAGTCATGACCCCACTGGGAGACGCAGTGGGCCTCGTCAACTGCGAAATAGGCCAACTTCTTGTGTTTGTACAACGAGTGGAGCAACTCCTGAAAAAACTTGGTTGCTGCCTGCTCGGGCGTTATATACAGGAACTTGATCTTAGTCTTGACGGCCCGCAGATCCATAATGACACGCTCGCGCTCCTTGCTGCTCATTTTCGAGTTCAGCGAATCTGCCTGCACTTTGAGCTTGGCTAGGTGATCGATCTGATCTTTGATCAGCGCCAGCAGCGGCGAAAAAACAATCGTCAACTGATCCTCGCATATCAGGCCTGGCAGCTGAAAGCACAGTGATTTGCCCGATCCTGTTGGCATTGACACATACACATCCTGTTTTTCTGCAAGTTCGAAATATCCGTATAAATAAGTAATTTACGAACTCCTTTCAGGTTCTGCTTACTTTTCACGGCGCATGTGACAGCCCGCTCTTGCAGCTCCGATTTAAAGCTCTTGTGGCCAAAAAACTTTTCGAGCGCTTCTTTTATACCGCTTTTATCCGTCATTATAACGCTGGCACTTAAAATCAGACAAAATTAACAGAAAAAACACATTATAAATGAATTCACATTCCCGAATTGTTGCGTATTTTATTGGCGTGAATGCCGCCAAAACAGCTGTGATAGCGATGGAAGAAGCGATGCTACAGGGTTGTAAGCGATAGCCCATTCAATAGCGATGTATCGCTTATCGCTAACATTAACTTTACAGCACAGCTGATAGCAATCATGCATTACAAGGCAAAAAAAAAAAAATTTGCTAAATTATCTTATATTATTTAATAAAAACGAAATAATCTGTTCTTACCTTCTATCAATTCATACTTTCCGCCAAAAGCTGACTGAGCTGCTAATTTGTCGTTTGCGTACACAATAATTTCACCATGGCAACGTGCTGCCAACTTTTCTTCCGAATTTGAATACAAAAACAGCCAAGAATATTGCTGTCCATGGAAATGCCGAATAATTTCAATTGTTTTGCTTATTGCTGCACCGGTATTGTAAGAGCAAATGCATTTAACAGGTAATCCATGTGACTTTTTATCAGCGCCAGCAGTGGCGAAAAACAACTAATATAGGCACATCAAGCCTGGATACAGAAGGCATCGCGATTGCCCGATCCTGTTGGCATTGAGTTATACACATCCTACTTCTTTGCAAGGCTACAATATCCGTGTAAATAAGCACTTTACGAATTCCTTTCAGATTCGGCCTGCTTTTCACGGTGTATGTTACACGATCTTGCAGCTACGATTTATAGTTCTTGTGGCCGGCAAACTTCGCGCACCTCTTTTATACCGTGTTTATTCGTCATAACAGTGCCGGCACTTGAAATTAGGTAAATTAAACAGAAACTACACATATTAAATTAACTTATTCCCGAATTGTTACGATTTTTTTTGTCGTGAATGCCGCCAAATATTTTCTTATAGTGATGGTAAAGGTGAAATTTCAGGGTTGTAAATAATAGCCCATTCTATGAATCGATATATCGTTGATCGCTATCTTAAAAAACCCAGTCAATACATCGATATGTCGTAGATCGTTTACAGTTATATTAAATCACAGCTGACAGTAAAATCGCTAAATTTCGCACCGAGAGACAAAGTTGTTTAAATTACCCATATAACCAATAATTATGCGTGCGATAACTACATCTTAACTCGGTTCTTGTTTCTTGCGCGT